GTATGCTCCAGGCTGGGCCGGGGCAGGARGCTGCTGGAGCTTGAAGAGGTTTTTCGCATCCTCTGGCTGGGATTTTCTACCCAGSCAGCCAAGCAGAAATCTCATTACAGACTGGCACAAAGGCAGCGCCCCTGTCCCCGTCCCCAGACCTGGCTGGGGGCTGGCACAGCCTGGGGTGGGCACAGTGCGAGGAGTGGCAGGTTGCTCTGGACAAGGGCAGCTGGTGGACTGTAACTGGCCATTTGCTCCCCCCAACCACCCCTTGTACCCCTCTCCCTGCCCTGGGCCTGCCAGCCCCCTCCCCAACATGACATAGACCCCCACTTTGTGGTGCAGGTGGGTTGGGCGTGGGTCTGAAGTGGGTGCCGGCTCCCTGGCAAATGTAGGGCGCTGGCAGGCGAGACAGGGTGCAGGCAGCCCCGTGCCCAGCTCTCCCACAGCAGCAGCAGCAGCAGCAGCAGCAGCCAATTAATTAGCAGGGCGGTGGGAGAGCAGCCGGCGGAGCTGCACGGGATCGATGGGCACATCGACCGCCCGGGAAACTCCAGCCCTCCCCGGCAGGGCTGCGGTGCTGGGGCACACAGGGAGCCAGCGGGGAAGGGGGTGACTGTGGCTGCAGCATCGCCAGCCCCTCGCGAGGGCACACCAGGGTGCACAAGGCCAGAAGGGAAAGGACAGGCACCGATGGCACTGCAGCCTCAGGGCTGGCACCTGCTCCCCTGCGAGCCAGGAGAGTGGCTGGTCCCCGTGTCACGCTGAGAGGACCTGGGGGTGCTGATRTTTGTGTGTCTGTGTTGAGGGACGTGCAGGGTGGTCCCTCGGGGTGGTGGCATCCGCTGCGGGAGCTGAGGGAGGGGACAGCATGGACAGGGTGACTGTGTGGGCACATGCCAGCCAGGCCATGACAGAGGACGAGCAGCACGCACCCCAAAGGGGTGGTGGCACTGCCTGCACAGCCCCGTGCTGCAGACGTGCCTGCAGGTCTGCGGCCACACAGCTCCTGTCCCTGTCCCCATCCCTGTCCCCATCCCACCCTCCCACTCACCCCGCCTGCCTCTGCCAAGCGGCAAGTGCCAGCCCGTCCCTGCGGGGAAGGAGAGTGCTCAGCCGTGTTGCAGAGCCTGCTATCCACCCAGATGAGAAGTGACAGCAAAGGACCCTTCTCAGGTACAGGCTCCCTGAGGCACAGGGCAGGAGATATTGTCCCCGTCTTCGCCTCCTCTGCTGCTGGCACTGGGGACGATCCTGCAGGCATTTAACCACTTCCGTGCCGTGCAAGCCAGCTGCAGTCGGAGGGCAGCAGCCCAGCGCCAGCAGCGCCGCTCCTGCCTGTCCCAAGCTGCAGGGACAGCGGGCAGGAAACAGGATGGAGCAGGGAGAGCCCGAGGCTGGGAGCGAGACCCGGAGGTGCAGCCCCTCTGCTGTGCCCCAGTGTGTCCTGCCAGGCGTGGGAGCCCGTGCACGGAGGGTCCACAGCCCCTCTCCTCCCACATCTCCCGCGCCGGCTGCTGTCTCTCCCGGGAGGTTGTCATGGGAACGGTGTGCTGTAGGTACCCCTCACCCGGGGAACCCCTCCCTGCACGCCACAGTGATCGTGGAGGGATGGTAGCAGAGTCTGTGCCCCTTCCAGGGGTGGGCAGAGAGGGCACGGGGAGCTCCAGTCCAGCAATGCTCAGGGAATGGTGGTGATACCCAGGCACGGAGCTCCCCTGTGTACCCACACCTCTCCTGCAAGGCCCAGAGCCTCCCCGAGCCCCTGGCTGGGTGACGGGGCACGCAGGGGACTCAGGCACTGCGGGAACAGCGTGGCACAGCCTCAGCGCCGGCAGCCGTGCTGCCTGCCCACTCCCACGGTGAGCCAGCGCTGCCTGTTCTTCCCYGGCCCACGCACCCTGCACGGAGCCAGCAGCTCCTTCCCCAGTTATTTGGGGGATTTTAACCCTGCAGCACCCACTGGTTGCAAGAATGGGTGCCTGCAGCAGGCAGGAGTGCCGGGGRCACGGGGCAGGATCTGTCCTTGCTGCCAGAACCGCCAGAGCTGGTGGCTCAGGGACAAGCTGGACTGGCAGTGCCTGGCCATGGCTGTATGCCAGCTGCCAGCAAGGTGACCCTGCCCGGGCACCCAGCACCACCGACCCATCCCCCCTGCGTGGAGAGGGGGACACAGGAACATCCCTGCCGTGCCCCACAGCAACCCCAGCCCCATATCTCCCATCCCTCTGGTGCCACGTGGGTCCCTCACCCTGCACCCCCTCCCTGCTGGGCCTCAGAGCACTCCTGGCCCTCCCCACCCCTGTCCTTGCAGGCCCCTCTGTCTGTGATGCCTCCCACCCCCACCTCCAGCCCTGCCGCCTGTCTGCTGCCATCTGCCTCTCCCTTTTGATTAGTATTAATTTTTAATTATYATTATTGACAGGGCTGCCAGCTCGGCTGCCAGCTGGGACAGCTGCCCAGCATGAGACAGGCCGGGGGCAGCCCTGGCACTGCTGTACTCRCTGGGTGGCTCCTGGCAAGTGCTGTGCACAGCCAGGGGGTGCCTGTGTGCCCCCCAGCACCCTCTGGCCCTCAGACAGGCACTGTGGGGTGCAGGAGTGGAGGATGAAGGTCACTGTGTCCCCAGAGGGCTGGCTCAGGGTGGGCACTGCCAGCCCCCAGCCGAGCCGGGCTGCAGGGCTGATGGGAGCCCATAAAGCTGTGGAGATAAATGGCTCCTATTATTTTTCCAATCAAATGAAATCCCACTGTGGCTGCATGGGAATGGTGATGAACCACGGCAGTGCAGCAGCCTCTGCACCCCCTCCTGTCCCGGTTAACCTTGGCCTTCTGACGTGATGGGGCACAGGGCACCCCGTGAGCACAGTGCCCTCGCTGGGGTAGGGGACAAGGACAAGGGACAAGGCTCAGCCCCAGAGCCGCGGGGGTGCAATAACGGGGCCATGTGGGGCAGAGCAGTTGGCTGAAGGGACAAAGGGACAGGCAAATCCTGCCTCACACACATTTCACGCTGTCACTGCTGGGGAGGGGCAKTAATGGTGCATTTTAGGGGGTCTCRGCAACCCCTCCTCCAGCTTCAGCTTTGCCAGCCCCACGAGTGCTCTGCCTGCCTCTCGTCTGGGAGGGACTGGGGTAGCGCTGTCTCCCCAGAGCAGGCGGGGACCCCAGCGTGAGCAGGGCAGTGCAGACACGGTCCCCACCGCAGGCAGGGCAGGCTGCCAGCCCCGCTGCGCCGGAGCTGGCCAAGGCCGGGCGAGCGGCACCATCGCGTGGCGAGGAGCGGGCGGTACAGGCGGCGCAGGCAGCACCCGGGCTACCGCCGTGCGGGAACACCAGGCAAGAGGGGCAGAGCCACCCCCTGACCCCCCGCTTGCAGCACCTCGAGTCTGGGGTCCTGTCCCCCCATACTGCATCCCCTCATCCCGGTCCTGCTGTCTGCAGGTCTCCCCAGCCCTTCCGCCCCACAGGGCAGGGCAGTGGGGTGCTGTCCCCCTTGTACCTGCACTGAGAAGTGACCTGAGGCCAGCACACAATGCAAGGACACAGGGACACGGCCTGGTACCCTGCCTGCCAGGGATGAACTCCTGTCTTCTCTCTCTAGTAGCATCTTGTGCCTGGAGCGGGGGCAATATTGGGTGGTGGAGGGGCCTGCAGTACCCTGGGGGAGCTGCAAGGCTGATGAGCCCAAAGAAAGGCAGCTGAGTCCCAGGGMCACAGCTCAGTGCAGCCATGGCAGCATCCCAGGGCACTGCAGGGCTCAGCAAGCTCAACCCCACAGGCTGCACTGCGGGGACCCTGGGTGACACAGCCACAGCAGCTGCCTGTCAGACTGTGAGCAGACAGGTCACAAACAGCTCTAAGAGAGCAGAGAGTGGTCAATACTTCATCCTTCTCCAGGACCAGCTCTGCAGAAAACAGCTCTAAGAGAGCAGAGAGTGGTCAATACTTCATCCTTCTCCAGGACCAGCTCTGCAGAGCCCGTCTGCAGGCAGGGCAGTGCTGAGCCATCGCAGCAGGGGACAAGCAACCCAGGCTCTGGGCTGATGAGGTGGCACAGATGGGCTGGACATGTGGCCCTGGAGAAGGTGAAACCCTGGAGATGGAGCCTGGGTGCTGCTGGAGAGAATGGAGGATATTCCTGGAGGAGAGCTGTGTGAGGGCAGAACTGCAGGAACGGCTGTCAGGAGGTGAGCAGACAGCTCCACCTGCAGAATCTGAGGAGGCAGGGAAGCACAGATACAACAATCAAACACACAAATAAAAGATTAAAGGACAGACAGTGGGGTGGATGTGGAAGGCAGTGTGGRAGAACAGAACAGCCAGGAGGAACAGCAGAGGACATGAGCCAGGGAAAGGAGGAGCCAGCAAAGTCCTGGGCTCGAAAGACTGAGGCTGGGAACCTGCAGGTGTGGTACCAAGAAACCCTTGGGAAGAAAATAAGCTTCATACCACCTGTGCTGCAAGTGCCTGTGGGAGGGGATGCAGCATGGGGACCAAGCACCCTGCAGGGACACTGCCAGCCCTCAGCTGAGAAAATGATCTTCCAGAGAAGGCAGATTCATGTCCCACTGATGGGCAGGGACTTGAGAGAAAAGGGGACCGGCTCCCCAGACTGAGCTGAGCCTCAGGAGAGCCTCCCATGCCCAGATTYGCATGGCAGTGAGCTGTGCCCATGCCTTGGCCAGGGGAGGAGAGAACAGCATTCTCCTGGGGACTGTCTAGGGTCCCCCAGAAGAGAGGAACACCCCCACAGCCCCAGGGAGAGGGGCAGCAGTCCCAGGCTCTAGGGGAAGTGAGGGGACATTGCTGTGAGCTTGGCAGACTGCATATCTGTGTTCTCCTGCTCACCCAAAATGGAGGGGCCAGGATATGGCATAACATCATCTCCCTCCCAGGAAACCTTCCCCCCAAACAAGAGCCACCCCAGGATGCCAAGAGCCCCAGAGACACAGATCATGCTCAGATACAGATATTCATTGTGGAACAGTACATGGGGACCCCATAGGCAGCTCCCCACTCCCCCCAGAGTCACACCACAAACTTGGTCTTGACAAGGGAGTTGCTCTTGGTGGCTGTGTCCGCATGGGCCTGGTAGCCAATGGCCACGTTCTGTGACAGGCCCAGGTGCTCCTTGTAGACACGCCTGAGGGAAAGAAGGGAATACATAAGTAGGGCAGCACCACTTCTCCCACTGGCTCCCTGCCCAAAAATCCTATTTCCCAAAGAGGGAGAGGCCTTGTTCCCCTGTGCAATCTCCCTGGAGCTGCATTACCCGATGTGGGTGACCCCTGCCTGGTTCTCTGCTTCCCGGGTCCAGATGGCAATCTTGTCCCCCTTGGCGCGGATGTTGATGACAGCCCCACACACCTCRTCGCTGTACTCATCAAACATCTCCCCAATGAGACACAGCAGCTGTTGGGAGGAGAAGAGAAGCCTGGGACAGTCCTCACTGGGGAATTGGGGCAGGGGGAGCAGCACAGCCAAGACCCCCTCGAGCAGGGTTGCACTCACCGTCTCCAGCCAGAAACGGTCCAGCTCRGTGTGCCGCTGCTGCTTGGCCAAGGTGATGAGCCAGCGCCCACCACGCTTGTTCTGGCTGTCCTCCCACATGGGCTCAATGCCATCCTGGGGATGGGCAAGGCGACAGTCAGGGCCACCAAGCACCCAGCCAGAGCTGGCTTGAGGAGCTGTGAGCATCCAGCCAGACATGGCCTCTCACCTTACGGCTAGGGCACCCCGCCAGCCCTGCCAGCACCCAGGGTGTCCCCAAAATGCTGGGTGCTGTGGAGGACCCTGAGGATGGGGTATCGTACCTTGAAGAGGGAGTAGTCRCAGCCTGCTGTGAGCTTGCTGGCAAGCTGGATGTGACTGTACAGTCTGTTAGATGGAGACAAAGAATCAGGTGACAAATAGGTGCCTCAGGCTCAGACCCACCACCAGAACACCTCCAGAAGGGGCACAATGGACACTCACGCCCAGAAGTCCTCCACAGTGCTGAATTTGGTGACGAGGCGCAGGTTCGCCTGCCACATCTTGCTCTTGTCGTTCTTGAAAAACCACAGTGCCCATCTGAGGGAGGGGAAAGGGGGTGTTCAATCATGCTGGAGTCCTCCTCCAGCCCCAGCACACCCCTCCCAGTGCTGGGAGAGYCTATCCACGGCCAAGCCCCCCATACCTGTTCTGCAGGGGGTGCTTGCCCAGGATTTCTGCCGGGAGCAGCTCTTGCTGCCGAACCCTCTGCCGGCGTCGCTCCTGCTGCCTCTGCAGGGGAAGGTGGGACAGCTCCGAGGGGCTCCATGACCATCCCAGCAGGAAGCCTGCAGCCCCCCTCCCCTCTCCCACTGGGACCCCCGAGGGCTTGCAGGGCTGGCTATGTTCTGCAGCCTCGCCAGCCCACAAGGCGAGCACCCACCTGCTCCCCAGTAGCCATCCTGACCAGCACAGGCTCCCCCARGCTGATTCTGGCTCTTAAGTACCCACAGGCAGGCGGGATGAGGAGCCATCCCAGCTGCAGCTGGTGGGGTGGGAGGGTGGTGTCCTGGGAAGAGAGTGCCAGGTCTGCCCCTCCTGGGGAGCAGAGAGATGGGGGATCCCTCTCTAGGGCAGGGAGCTGGGGGATGGGGCCAGGGGCTCTGAGTGGGATGGGGTGGGATCAGGACGAGGGAGTAGAATCGAGTAAAGTGGGGACCATGATGTGGTATGGGCAGGGCAGGATGGCACAGAGAGGGTGGGATAGTGTCAGGCTGGGGGGTAGGGATGGGATGGGATGGAAGGATGGGATGTGATGGGGAGAGTGGGGGATGTTATGGGGAGGGGACGGTACCAGAGTTGGATGCAGTGGGATGGGAATGGGGTGGGATGAGGTGGGAAGAGGACATGACGAGAACGGGATGGAAATGGCATAGGGACAGGGTGGAATGTGGAGGGAGCTGGATGGCGATAAGGATGGAATGGGGTAAGGGCAGCCTGTAGATGGAAAGCAGTGGGATCAGMACGAGGTGGGACAAGGATAGGGAGGAGACGCGGCAGGGAGAGAGTGGGATTGGATACGATGGGGGTCAGGACAGAATAGCGTGGGGACAGCGTGGTGGGATCACGACGAGCGATGGGGACGGGGAGAACGGCA